CCTCGCTCTCTCTCCTGGCTGTCTCTCCTGGCTGTCTCTCCTGGCTGTCTCTCCTGGCTCTCTCTCCTGGCTGTCTCTCCTCGCTCTCTCTCCTGGCTCTCTCTCCTCGCTCTCTCTCCTGGCTCTCTCTCCTCGCTCTCTCTCCTGCCTTTCTCTCCTCGCTCTCTCTCCTGGCTGTCTCTCCTTGCTCTCTCTCCTGGCTGTCTCCTCGCTCTCTCTCCTGGCTGTCTCCTCGCTCTCTCTCCTGGCTGTCTCTCCTCGCTCTCTCTCCTGGCTGTCTCTCCTCGCTCTCTCTCCTGCCTGTCTCTCCTGGCTGTCTCTCCTCGCTCTCTCTCCTTGCTGTCTCTCCTATGGCTGTCTCTCCCTCACTCTCTCTCTCCTATGGCTGTCTCTCCTATGGCTGTCTCTCCCTCGCTCTCTCTCCTGACTGTCTCTCCTCGCTCTCTCTCCTGACTGTCTCTCCTCGCTCTCTCTCTCCTGGCTCTCTCTCCTCGCTCTCTCTCTCCTGGCTCTCTCTCCTGGCTCTCTCTCCTGACTGTCTCTCTCCTGGCTCTCTCTCCTGACTGTCTCTCTCCTGGCTCTCTCTCCTGGCTCACCTTGCAACAGGCTGTGTGAACTAATATTCTTTGATGTAATACATAGAGGCACTTCATCCCCCAGAGAGGTGTCGGGGAGCTCGGCTCAGCAGTCTCGGGCTGATAGGTAATCGTGTGCGCACAGCGAGATAAATATACCAACATGGAATAAAGGGGCCGCCAAATAGACCATCCACTCTACACAGAGATAGACGAGGGGACTATGTTCCTCCGGCATGCTGACCACGGCACAATGGAGCATGTTTGGTGGTCTGAATACAAGTATTCCATTTCAGAGAGATCGATGGGAGGAGCCATTTCACACACCAATTCCATTCACTTTCCAAAGGAGAACAACGAATCACCTGAATATCAACGAGAACTAAAACTAGGGATCCACCGATACCGATACTAGTACGGATATCGGTGCCGATACTGGTACTCGCCCAAATGCTCCGATGCCTGGCCCGATACTTCCTGTATCGGTCATTACACGCCGCCCGGCTTCCATGATTGGCCAGCAAGACGGTTTCCGGCTGGGTATTGGAGGAAGGCGGCTCCTGGCTGGAGAGGCCCCGGGGGTGACAGGCTGGACATGCCGAGGTGAGAGGGGACTTTCTAGTTAATCGGGAAGCCGGGTGGCAAGTCATTACACGCCACCTGGCTTCCTGAATGGGACTTTCGGTAATTGGTATCGGTGAGTACCTAAAAAAAAAAAATAAATGATCGGTACTCGGTACCAAAATACCGGTATCGGTGCGTCCCTACCTAAAACTATTGTCTGGGAATGAAAAGGCCAAAATGAAACCCGCAGGACGCTGGATGTAAAACTGACCGGCAGCCATCTGCAGGAAACCTGCAAGTTGCTAAAGTCGTTCCCTCGGCGATCCTGTGTACACCCCGAGGGCCGAGATGGATCATTCCTCTAATACGAGGCACCGGTCTGGCCATCTGCACATGATCGCCCATCGCCGGTCCTCCTATACCTTCCTGCAACGTATTTCCGCAGAACCGGCTCGTTTCTCTCATTGCTGGACCAATGACTTACCCGCCACCCAGACCATCGCATTTCCCCGACTCTCATCAGCAACGTCTCCGCCCTCTACAGACCTCTCCCGTCTCCGTCACCCCTCTCCATTCCCTTCTCCAATACAAGATGTCGTGTAATAAGATTTACCTTCTAACGTTTACACACCTTCCTCCACCAGGGTGCCATGAGGCGCCTACAAACGTTCACACAGCGCCATGCACATCCAGGGTGCGGGTGATCCCCCCCCCCATGGTGCTACTCCAGGGTGGGCTGCATCCAGGACCTCCCCCACCTCTTACTAGACCCGCACCACCTCCCACCCTCCGCCATGCAGCAATAAAGATTATAGGGTAAGACTGATGAGAAGGGGGACGTCTTATGTGCAGGGGGCTCCTGATATGAAATGGGACTGCTGGTGTGATGGGGGAACTCCAGATGTTAGAGGACTATGAGGGGGGCGGGGGGGGGGGGGATTTTAAGG